AAAAAAAACCAAAAACAAAAAACAGTAAAATAAGCTGGGGGCAATGGCTCATGCCTGTAATCCCAGCACTTTGGGAGGCCTAGGTGGGCAGATCACTGGAGCCCAGGAGTTTGAGACCAGCCTAGGCAACACAGTGAGAATGCATCTCTATGATTTTTTTTTTTTTAAATAGCTGAGTGTGGTGGTGGCACCTGTAGTCCCAGCTACTCAGTGGGGCTGAGGTGGGAGAACCGCTTGAGCCCGGGAGGCAGAGGCTGCAGTGAGCTGAGATCACACCACTGCACTCCAGCCTGAGCGACAGAGTGAGACTCTCACAAAACAAACAAACAAAAAATACAATATACAAATTAAAAAACAATACAGTATAACAACTATTTATATAGCATTTACAGTGTATTAGGTATTTTAAGTAATCTAGAGAAGAGTTAGAATATACAGGATGTGTGTAGGTAAACACTATGCCACTTTATATATGGGACTCGAGCATCCTTGAATTTTGGCATCTTCAGGGGTCCTGGAACCACTCCCCTATGGATACCAAGGGACAATTCTATTTATTTACACTTGTGCCTGGAAAGGCCTATACCAAAGAGCTAACAATACTTTCTTAAATGGGATATGGGGGATTAGAATTGATTTTTCATTTTCTTCTTTATCCTCTTCTCTACACTTAAGTTTTTACAAGAATCACATAAAAAGAAATAAATATATAAAGTGTTTAGAACAGTATTACTACAAAGCAAGAACCATATAAATGTTTGCTGTTATTTTATAAATTTTAAATTACAGAATTCTTTTGTAAGTATATCTATAAAAAGGAAAAAAGACAGAAAGAACATATATTAAAGACCTACACTGTATTTATCTCTGGTGAGTAGATTTGGGGTTATTTTAAATTTCTTCTATAACTTCTCTGTACTTTCCAAAATTTCTACAATGAATGTTTATAATGAGCAGTTGGTAACTGGGAGGAAAATGCTCAAAGGGAGAAGGAACGCAGGTATAAAAAAGGGGAAGTGAGAGGAAGGGCATGACTGTGTCTTGAGGGTGGCTTCCTAATTGCTGGGAAAGAAACCCCTCCTCCGACTGCCTGGACATGAAGCCTCAGGCGAGGACCTTTACCGCCACCCCCAGGTGGAGGGCAGGCGGCTCTACCTGCTAAGGCTAGGATAGCAAAATGCCTGCCCCATCTCAACTGCAGTCCTGCTAATTGGCCAAGACCCCATCCCCCCTCCCCACAACTGAGTTCAAAATCCTACTCAGTAAGTCTTGGACAGCTGCTAGTAACACACTGGGCTAGGGCTGGCAGGATCCCAATTCTAAGGGTAATACAACCTGATCCTTCCTTTCCTCTCCTCTCCACTTGCAGGGGCTGGTGCTGAGGGGCAGGGACACTGAGGAGGACAGGCTTGCTTTGGGATACTGACCTAATAAACTCACACTGGGAAGCCCACTCTTGGTTAAGACAAAGGGAAATTTCCCACTTGGCCCCTGGACTGTGGAAACCTCCCTTTAGAGAAGTGGGCTTGGGCCAGTTGTCTGAAAGATCTCACAGGAAGGCCAGGGCCAGGGCATGGCACACCAAGGGCAGGGCTGGGGAAACCCCACATGGCCCTCTGCCCTCATGGCTGGGAACATAACTTTGGGGACTCAGAAAAGGGAAGGGAATGGCAGGAAGTGGCTTTTGGGAGTGGGGCTGAGTACAGCTGGTCCTCGCTTGCTGGGGAGGGGCTGGGAGGGTAGGGGAGACACTTACCGCTCCTGATGAGTGCTTTCCCCAAATGAAGCAATTCAACACGAAGCAGATGCCAAAAACCACACCAGGGTACAGAGTTGCCGTCTGAAGCAAGAGGGGCCAGGCTGAGGAGCAGCATCCAGGGAGCTCCCCAACCTGTCCCAGTGGGGCCCCCAGACCAGAAGCTCTTAAGCCCTCCTTGTCTTTCAGACTCAGCTCAAGCATCATTCCTTCCAGAAAGTATTCCCTGACCCTCAGACTGAGCAAGGCTCTGTCCTATGCCCTCTCAGGTCCCTAAAACTGCCCCTTCTTGCTCTCCTCCCAGTTTGTAATTACATATTTTGGCTACCTGATCAATATCCACCTATCCCCAGAAGACTGTGAGCTCCTTGGGAGGAGTGTATCTACCTTGTTCTCTGATGTACTCTCATCACTGAGAACAAGGTAACTACTCTGGCCGGGTGCGGTGGCTCAAGCCTGCAGTCCCACACTTTGGGAGGCCGAGGTGGGTGGATCACCTGAGGTCAGGAGTTTGAGACCAGCCTGGCCAACATGGTGAAACTCCAACTCTACTAAAAATACAAAAACTAGCTGGGTGTGGTGGCACAC